CCAACCTATACTGGAACCTGGGGTTGTTCTTTCCCTGATGCAAGACTCCACTGTCCCTTGTATTTCACAAAATTTCTCCCTGTCCAACTCTCCAGCCTGCCTGGGTCTTGCTGGATGGCAGCACAGCCTTCTGGTGTGTCAGCCACTCAGTTTCTCACAGCAGCAGCAGCAGCAGAAGCAGCAGCAGCAGCAGCATACCAACGGTAACTCCACGGTGCCTGGACTGAGTGCTGTGCTCTTCTGAATGCAAGTGTTCGACATTGAAATAGTGGTACGCTGCTGATGCAGCTGCTGCTGTCGAAAAGAAGGTGGAACAGCATGTTAGTGCATCAAACTGTGCTGGGAATTGGGCACAGCTTGTGCAGCCCTCTGGTAAAGCCAAGGGAAAGCAGATTTTTTAATACCTGATTTGTTCTGAAGGGTCTTAACAACGGCAACAAAGGCAACCAGAAAAAAAAAAGAAAAAAAAATCCTTCTTCCTTTCTCATGCATAGCAGACAAAAATATGCTGTGAAAGTGCTATTTTTTTTTTAAACATCACCTATGTAAGTTCTATTTCAACAGTGAAATGCTTTCATTACAATTCATGCACTGCACTAGCCCTTTTCCTAGGGGAAGAAAAGGCAATGGATCGCACCACATTCAGCCAACGGTATCATTAAAAAGATCTTTGCTCCATGCCTGGCAATTGCATACTAAACAGCACCTTCAAGTCGCTACCTAGAAACACCACTATTCTTAACAATATCTTGAGAAATGCTCCTGATGGAGAGAATTTAAATGAGGAAAAGGAAAGGTAAGGGACCAAGAGAAAAATCCAATAAACAAATGTGTATGAGGCATTTCTTGCGTACAACACAGAGAGGGAGAGAGGTGGTGAGCAGTAAATCACTGTCCAAAGATCTTTGCTTCCAGAAACACGAGGTTGTCAAGCCCATTTGTTCTTGCGGCCAAACTCTTCAATCCAGCTGTAATCAAAATATTTTAGGCAGCAGTAGCTTCAACTGACTAAACAAATAGAGAACACTTACCACCTTGATTTTACTATCACTAAAATTAAAAAATACATACATCCAGGACAGAAACACTGTGTGTCAGAAGCTTGTAGGTTACTTGTGCAACCATTACAGGGTTACAGAAGGCAGCATTTCCTGCTGCAGGTGGAAATATCTGCACCAGTTTGATTGTGCATCTTCAGCAAACGGTGTAAAATTTACCAACTCACTGATGTACCCCCAAGCAAAAGGTTCACACACGGGAATGGTTAGCATTCAGACTGCAGCTCTGCTGTAACTCCAAGGAAACTGGTCGCATTACACAGAGAATGAATTTGGCCCAGCATGTACAAACAGAATCTCAAATGGACTAAATGCATGTGTTATGGGCAGTTAAGTCTTGCAAGAACTCATAAAGGCAGGTGCTTATTGTAGAGTAACATGGTCTTCAGCACTCTGGGCTTTCCCTCTAATGGGATGACTTTAAAAAAAAAAAAAATTTACATTTTCGGGCCAGTGTGCCCATTATCACTGCCTCTCATGCCCTCTTTCTCAGCCCAGCCAGCACTGAAATCAGGTGTGTGAGACAAGTTTTCAGAACTTGTTCTGATCTCAGGACAGAGAGATGCTCATCCCAGACAATGTCTTGGACAGGCAGATTCTGAGAATACAGCTGAGTCTGCAGGCACGTCACTCAAGATGGGATGCAGCTCATCCAGCCTTAGTCATCTAAACCCAAACCAGTTGTCCCTTTATAGACCCCAGAGAAGAAAAGGAACTTCTGGAGGCAATTTGAGATGTCCAAGTCACATCATCATCCAGCTTCTTTTAAACATCTGCTCCTGAATGAGAAAAACTGCACCATAAAGATTCCCCTTGAGTTTACGAGGTCCTCAACAGCTATCTCAAACACGGAAATTTAAGTTAATGGAGGCGAGTTCCATGTCCCTCCATCTCCTGGCAGGTCATTTATTTAGGCTATAAGCTCTCACAGCTATGATATTACACCTGCCCGGTGCAAAAGGGTCCAATGATAATGTGAGACTTTACTGCGCAGTTACTCCAACTACAAATAGACTAGGATCAGCCACTTAGGCTTGGAAAAAAAACAAAACAGTGCTCTGGAAAAAACCTCTTTCTACTGTGCCATGTGGAAACTGATATAGCAAAGAGACAGTCTGCTGTGTCCACACAAAAGCAAAGGGGATGACAAGCGGTAGCTGTGCAGACATCTCCAGGGGAGGAAGGGGAATAAAGCGGTCACAGCCTGAGCCTTAGCAGAGACCCCACTGGGACTTCTGAATAGCACTGATTGCAGACGCTCCAGCTGCCGGAGGGGCAGCACAACACTAATAAGATGTTATGGGAAATTCAGGATCTCTCACATTGGAGGAGACTGAGAGAGGCCGGCATGATAACCCTACCAAAGCAAAGGCTGTTCTTCACAAACATATCTGGATGGTACAAATATATCCGGATGGTAAATAACAGCTGCAGAAAAAGGGCCACTTCAGCCTAAAGACCACTGATTGCACAAGAAAACTTGGATGTGAAAATAATGAGGCTAAAAATCAGACAAACGGTAGGTTTTATTTCTTCTAGAATTGAGATTCTGGAAAAGCCTCACACAAGGATAATAAAACAAAGAAAAAAAAATAAGCCCTTTCAAGACAGAACTCCAAACATTTACTTAAGGATTTGGACGATGCAGTGATTCAAGAGATCTGGTGTAATCTAGTCTTTCTGGGACTAAGCCAAGCACAGTGGAGTGCTGATCTGAACTCGTGCCCCCTGCACCAGCAAGGTAAAGGGGGCTGTTCCCTGGCTGCAGCGGCAGCGGCGACAAGGACTCACTTCCCTGCAATAGCTCCTGGGCATTTGAGCTTCTCAATCCAAGCTCAGCCTTCCACATCAACCAGTTTGCAGGTGCTCATCAGCCAGTACTGAGGGATCTTCTGTGAGTTAAAATGGCAGCTGAGCCGAGTTTGTAAACACCAGTGTGTTTTGCATGTGTGAACACGCTTGATTTACTCACACACTGAATTCAGCCACGGTAGCCCCTCAGCGCACGTCATTCACTCTATCTAAACCCCAGGCTCCCTGTGCAATACCTAGATCTACCTTTGCAAGGGATAATCAAAGTCAAACTATTTTTTCTAGGTGGGGTCAAGAATTCAGAAGACTAGTCTGAACCCTGCAGTCCACAGGTACGCGCAGTAGAGTAATTGCATGGATTTGGTTGTTCCGAAACTTGAACATGGACTTTTCCCAACCTGGAGAGTTATTGTTTTGTTTTGTTAATCAAATCTCCATGCACAACTAAGCTGTTACGCACTTTTCCCAGGACTTTATTTTATATTTATTTGTGTGCTGCCAACAGAGCTGATTTTAAACCAAAACAGTACAATCTATTTTCCTTCATCTTTGCTCTCTAACACCAGTCTTCACAAAACTGAAAGTGCAGCACAAAATAGTCTCTACAGTATCTGCTTCAGCAGAGAAGCAAGTGATAAATTACTTGCCTACAAGGAGACGAGGTTATTAATCAAAATGGCTTCAGGGTGTAGTGTTTTGAGGCTATGTCAAGTATTAAATAACAGGTAAAAGGCAGGAGGTTTTTCCTTTTGAAATCCTAAATCTAAGCCTGTTCAAGAAAATGAAACAGGCATCTGCTAGCCAAGTTGTCACAGAAAAAAATCTTCAGGAAGAGCCAGTGTAAATTAAAGCCCTCAAATCAAAATCAGGACTTAAAAGATTGCTTTGCATTTCTTTTCTTAATAAACAATAACACAGTTCGGTCTCTTACACAATTTGTTCAAGCTGACTTGAATGGCAGCAGTTGAACACAACTTGCCATCCCCTGGAAGTTACACCACTGAGCACTTCCTGATCAAATTAAGGGTTTACTTTGCATTCTCAGATTCTCCTTTCCAGATCAGTTTGTTTTCCAAGAAACCATCTCATCCACTGCTAAGCTATACTTCCAAGGAACGCAAATTCGTTGCACTTCCTGATGGCATCACGCAAGATTAATCCTACAGAGCTCCAGAAAAAGGAAAACTACCACTGAAGTAAGAGTTTGCATGTGTGAACATGCATGATTTACTCACACATGCTCATTCAGGACAGAATGAGCTCTTGTTGGCTTCTCAGGGCCTTTCTGTCACAGGTTTTTAATTTTGCTTTATAGCATAACCTTTGGAATTCAGAGTACATGTAGTAGCTTGGTTTGAATTTCTGGTTAAGGGTTAGGACTTTTTGTAGAGTGAATAATGCTGGAGTGGAGGAGGGGGGAGCTCGCATTTCAGTAAGGCATTCCTCTGATGGTTTTACCACATACTAAAATCTGGGCTACACGGAACATGGCAAGCTTCCAAGAAGGACGCTGATACACAATGCACATCTATGCTCGGACTAGGTGAGTGTTTTATTGAGACATCTGATTGAGACTGGCCCCCTTGTAACTGAAATTCAGACTGATGATCCCCTTGAAAGCCCATGGAACCAGCTGTGAGTGGTCAAAAAGAGTGCTGAGATATATATTTGACAATGTCTCCCACAGCAGTCTTGTATCCCAGTCAGGATGTTATAGGCTGGATGAACTGAAAACCACCTAATTAAGACACCAGTTGGATGACTGGGCTCAGAGGACAGTGGTGAATGGATTGTCCTCTACTTGGAGCTCAGCTACAAGTAGAGTGCCACAGGGTCTATACTACAGTTCGTCCTATTTAACATCTTTACCAGTTAGTTAGAGGAGGTGTCAGATGATACTTTTGCCTTGCTTGTGGATGACATCAAATTGGTAAGACCAGTCAATACACACACTCAAGGGCAGAACTGCCATCCAGAGGGACCCAAACAGGCTGGAGGGATGGGCCAACAGGAAGCTGATGAAATTCAACAAGGACAAATGCCAAGTCCTGCACCTGGGGAGGAAGGTCAGCCCCCTGCAATGATACAAGCTGGGGACTGCCTTCCTGCCTGGCTGGGGAGCAGCTCTGCAGAAAGGTCTTGGCGTTCATAGTGCAAAGAAGGCTAGCGGTACCCCAGGCTGCAGTAGCATGGCCCACAGATGAAGGGATGTGACTAACTCCCAGTGCCCAGCACTTGTGAGAGTGCATTCAATTTTTGGTCCCCAAAACACAAGACTGACAATGTTGAACTGAGGTGAGTTTAGCCGGGAGCCACCAAAATGGTCAAGCACTGGAACACTTGCCCCACAAGAAGAGGCTGAGGGAGCAGGGCTTGTTCAACCCAGGCAAGAGATGGCTTTGCGGGGGGCGGTACTAACACCAGCCTGTAGAGCCTACAAAGAGGTCATCATGACAGTGGAGACAGGTTCTTCAACAGTGCATAGAAGTAGGACAAGAGACAACAGGCATAAATTGAAATTAGGGGCTTTCAGATTGGATGTAACAGAAAAGTTTTCATGATAAGGACAGTTAAGCAGGACAATAGATGAACCAGAGAAGTTGTGGGGTCTGCATTCTGGAGAAAACTCAGTGGTTTTCAAGACCAAAGTGGATAACTTGAACAACCTGGTCTGACTTCACAGCTGGCCTCACTTTGAGCAGGGGATTGAATTAGAGGCCTCTCAAGATCCCTTCTGACTTGAATTACCCAGTGACACTGTATGAAGAAGTTTCCTGTTACTAGTCCATGGGGAACATCAGCACTGTAGCATCCTCAGCCTAGTGAAAGCCTCAACAAAGCTAAACTCCACTGCAAAAAGAAAGAAAATCCTGTGCATTCTGTGGCTTTCTCTCTCTTCTCCACTGTTGATGCTACCGAATGCTCATGTTTATGAAAAAAAATGGGAGGAGGGGGAGGAGGGAAGATGAACAAGTTCAATTTTTACATCTTCATCCCTTCCTGTGGCCAGTAAAATACTGCTCTTCTCAGAAGATAAACCAGTACATTTTCAGGTTAGATTTGTGTACCAGGAAACAAGACTTTCATTATATCCTCTGGAGATTATTCCAGGGCTTAAAGGATTTCACACTCTAACAGTTCCCCCAAATACTCTGACTACATGCTGCCTTTGTCAGCCTCATCTTAATATAGTACTAGATAAGTCCTCTACCTCCAGGCTATTTACACTGTTCAGAGAACTGAAGACTGTTACAACACATAGTCAATTAGAAAGATTGAGTATTTTTAACCTTTCCTCAAATCCACCCTAACACCAAAAACCTGTTTGTTTCTTGCCATAATATCCGGATGGGTCTCCCTTTCTATGGATGAGATCCCAGTGCTGACTGCAGAAGAGCAGGTGTGCTCTCCTCTGAGCCAGAGTGTCAATGAACCCATCCAAGTTCTTTGATTCATTTGCACACAAAACCCCAAATTGCATGTTTTCTTTTCAAGACTACAACGACAAGAACTCCAGGAAGCCTCAGCTGTCTTCTCCTCATCAACACCATCCAAAGTCTCTGACATTAGTGGAAACAGTCTCAATCACTTGGAGGGTCTTGGATCAAGTCCCAGTCTTAAAGAATAAAAGCAAGGAGAAAATGAGACATAAACTTCAAATGCAGCTGCCTGGAATTCCTGCCTTGAAGTGGGAATGGAACCACTTTGAGGGTAGGCGGAAGGATTTTTTAAATTAAAAAGAATGGGACGAATAGCATGTTTTAACTTCCTAATTAAAAAAAGTGCTTTGGAAAATATTCTGTGAAACTGTTTTGAATTAACTTATTTATTCAGTCAAAGGAACATTCCACTCACATTTACCGGAAGAATGAAAATCTTAATGTCACAGTATTAACTTTGACATCCTCTTCATAAATTGGAGCTTATCTGTGTCTTTATGCAACATACAACTCAGCCTCCCTTCCAATTTAAAGAAAACCTAAACAGAACAACGTGAGGAGAGTCAGCCCACTCAGGTGTTTCACAAATAGGAAGTGATAGAAGACTGCAGAGTGTGTAACAGCTTGATCCTCACTGGGACAAAGTCAGCTGCTCACTTCACTAATGCCATAGTTTTCCACAAGAGAGCTACTCAAATGCTGACAGAGCAAGAGGCTTTATACACTGTCCATAATGTGCCAACACACTTAACCAAATCCTATTCCATGTGTACACAGCTAGAGGAAAGCCTTGCTGCGGGTGTTACATGTATGTTCTATTCCTTGGCTGCCCTTCAGCCAGCTGTTTCCATATCAGACAACTTGATGCCCAGAAAGTTACGTACTCAGAATTCATAGCTACGCCCTTCTCATTCACAGAAAGTCTTACGATGACTCTCTATTACCGTGATAACCTGAGAACTTACTGTTCTGAGCAGGTTTGGTATATCATAAGACTCACATGCGTTTTCCGGATCAGGTCATTAATCATTCGCCCTGAGACTAATTCTTCTAAAATCAAAACAATCAACGTAAGGCATGCTCCAAAGGAAAGCCCTCAAAACCCAGATGTTTCACTAATGCACTGCCTAGTATAGTTATAGTATGATTAAGAAGTAGGAAACAGCTTTTTTCTGCATTTATATTCAAAATGGTCCAATCAGCAGAGCTGAACGAAAATACTAAAGAAAAGCAAGAACTGAATTGAAAAGGACATCTTGCATTTTATAATATCAAATCAAACAAACATCGCACTGCTTGCTTTCTAAATCTTACAGAAAAGCTCCTCCTTAGCGCAGACTGCCTATTTAAAAAAAAAAAACCACGAAAAAACAAACCGAAGACAAGCAGAACTAGCTGCAGGCAATGAAGTACATTAGCATTTGGATTCATGTTTGTATATCCTCTGAAGGAAAAATTCTCTTAAAAGCAACCTAAGAAACTTCCTCAAATGTAATCTGGCAACAGTTCTACAAGACTTTAAGATTTCTAATGCCTTTATAGTTCCTTAAAAACGAAGTGGAAAATGTTAAAAAAACACCACAGATTGCTGCCAATTTCAAAACAGGATGTTTTTGTTGTTGATGACTGTAATTAGGACCAGTGACCTTGAAAATGTAAACAACCATCCATTACCTCTTCTCTTCTAATTATTGGTGCAAATATTTTTTTTCTCTTTATAAACTTGGCTGTACAAATAGTTTAGCGCTCATACTCCAGCAAAAACAGAACTTCCACAGGACTGAAAATACCAGCACCCAATGTCACCAGCTCACTGAAGGGAAAAGGGAGAAGGAGGAAAGTATTTAAAATATGGGCAGCAATTTAAAATCAAGGTGGCTGTTATCAGCACACAGGAAAGGCAAGATGGAAAAGGTAGCCCTAGAAGAAATGCATTATAAGCATTGCTGAAGAATGATAGTCAGGAGATAACCATGGAAAGTGCCCAAATTCCTGAGACGGCAAGGAAGGAGTTCTGTAGCTTTCTCAACACTTAATCCTGCAGTCAGAAACTTGACCCCCGAGTCCTTACCTTCTGATGTCCAAATTCATTCAATATCGTGCCCAACTTCTTTGTGTTGCTGTGAAGTTTATGAGCAGCAATGGCTGGATTGGGATCCCTCCAGTCAATGGACAGGCGATGATACCAGAGGTGCCGGCTCTTCTGAATGTGAGCTGACTTGATGCTGGGGTCAAAGCGATGCACCTCACACCCACTGTTGGCCATGCTGACCTCGAACTGGTTGTCATCGTTGCTTAGCCTACGAGAAAAAAAGACGTAGCTACTCATGCTGCCAAAAGAACTACTGGTGAGTAGGACATTCTGAGGAGTCACAGTAAAAGAAGGCAAAATGCCTATTTGTTTCTGAAGCAATGTGGAAGAGCTGTTGTGTTCCTTCTTGGAATATATCAACAACACCGAGCACAGTCTAATCCCAATTCTGACAAGGTAACCAGAAGTAAAGCCAAGGGTCCGCCATGATACCTGGAGTAATACTTGGAATAAGGAGTTAGATAAAGGAAATTTAAAGGATTGTGTATTTTTTTCCCAATGTCACATGCATAACTGACTTTAATAAAATTTAAATGAATTTCATAGAACCATAGAATGATTTGGGTTGGAAGGGACCTCAAAGATCATCTAGTTCCAACCCCCCTGCCATGGCAGGGGCATCTCCCACGAGATCAGGTTGCTCAAGGCTCCATCCAACCTGGCCTTGAACACTTCAAGGGATGGAGCATCCAAAACCTCCCTGGGCAACCTGTTCCAGTGCCTCACCACCCTCACAGTAGAGAACTTCTTCCTTTTATCTAGTCTAAATTTACGCTGCTCTATTTTAAAATTATGCTCTTCCAGCACTTCCCCTTGTCCTGTCACTACAGGCCCTTGTAAAAAGTCCCTTCCCAGCTTTCTTGCAGGCCCCCTTCAGGTACTGGAAGGCCGCTATAAGGTCTCCCCAGAGCCTTCTCTTTTCCAGGCTGAACTTACAGAATGGAACTACTGGAATGGATTGGATGAACGAACCTCACAAGAAAATTCAAGTTCCTTCCAATATACAACATAAAATTAGAATGATGGGCTGCTATCAAGGCAATAGCTAAATCACTTTTAGCCAGTCTGATAACCTTCCCAAAGAGCTTTTTCTTAACTCAGAAGTCAACATAATTAATTAATAAAAGAAATATTCAAACCTTTGTGCTGTCATTATTCCTCTATTCAATTTGCTTTTTCTTGACAAGATTACAATACTTTCCTTAGTCCCCACTGCACAAACTGTCAATAACCAAGCCATAAGCAGAAGAGGAAATACATTTAAAATTTATACAATACTCTTTTGTAAAAAAAAAAGGGGCATATCTCCCACCATGTCTATAATCTGGTGTTAAAATGATAAGCCACAATGGCCACCAATAGGCACAAGACACAAGAACCATATGTCTCTCTCCGTGCACAGGAATACACAGATTAAAAAAAACAAATTTCAGAATAACCCCTTCAAAAGAGCAGCAGAGTTTTTACACAGAATTAAGAGAAAGATTGCTGCTAATTTGGCAAAGACCCCAAAGAAGAAGAAAAATTAACAGCCTTATCATACAGCAGTATTATCTCAGTCTCTGTCTTTTCAAGAAGATGTACTTTACAAGGCTGTGCCATATTCCCAATTCCTACAGCCCACTTGTTCACACAGGGTACCCTAAAACTAACAAATTCTGGTATTTACCATTTTAATCATAACTGGACCATAGGCCTTCCCGACCGCGTAAAATAGGATGTCCTCTTCATTTCTAATCCTCCAAGCTTGTTTCAAATGTGGTTCAAATCACGCACTAAACCTTAAACTTAATCAGAATTATGCTGTTGGACATGCACACATGTAGTGCTGGGAAGAGAACAGGGATTCTTAAAAATCCCGACTGAGAACATCCACTGTGTACTAACAACAACATGGCATTTATCTGTCATACACAAACCATTACAGGGCAGTACTCTTAGATGTACTGTCAGAGTACCTGCTACGCTACACCACAATTGCCCCTAGAAATGGTTTGAGTCTGAAATAATTCTGGCTATTTGCATCCATATGTAAAATGCAATACATTTTAAATCATGCTACACTATGGTACTGCATTAAGCCAACAGTAAATGTTTTACACAGATGACATACTGGTAAACTAACATGAATCCTACTCGTGAAGAAATGTTTGGAAGAGCTTGGAAGTTACCAGTACGGGATGATATAACACCTGCTGTAATACTGGCTAAGCATAGTGTAACAATGCCCTATTAGATAGTTTTCTCCTCAGTCATCTTCCCCTTCAGGCATCTTGGAAAAGTAGAAGACAGGGTTTGCAAAACCAGCCCAGGGCACTTTTAAGAAAACTCTTTTTCACAGGATTCCAGCCCATACAGCCACGTAGGAGGAAAAGAGAGGAGCTTTTTTCTTTAATATATTCAACACACATTAGGAAAAAAGTTCAGAAGTTAACCAAGTGAATTGACATATTTGTTTGCATGTGGCTTTCTACAGAAGGGACACTCATGAACAAAGACCAGTGTAATCCCTTAGGAATGAGAAGCTGGCTAAAAAATTAACAACATGTGAGTTGTTTGGGACAGTTTAAGCATTAGGGTGACGAGCATGCCAGCGACCAATGGACACACGCATCCACGGCACGCTTCTAACCACACCAGCTGGTACAGTCCAGAGGGCCAGATGCTTCTGATGTAGACAAATCTCAGGCTGCCTCCAAACAGATTGCTACTCACGTGGACTGCAAAGGGAGGTTTACGGTGTTGCAAAATACAGATGAGGGTGAAGAAGGTGTTGATATATCTTCTGGCACTCTATAGCCAGCAGCTCAAATTTATGCCTGAAGAGATGTCTGACTAACAATAAATATTTAGGAGAGAAAATAAGGTCATCTCCAAAAGAAGTGGTTTGAAAAATTCCTGGCTCACATGTGATCATGCTAAGGGATAACACAGCATGAAAAACGTAAACAAATGAGGTCTCCTAAGAAAGATTTTGTGCCACTTAGAAAGGCATCATGATTTTAAAAGAAAGACATGGAGGTCACAGAAGACTAGCGAGGCCCTACCCCACCATCAGGAGCAGCTGCTGCCTGCAGCAACAGCAAAATATGTTTTTCCTGTAAAGGGGAAGAGAGCTCTCTTACAGAGGCGGCAGCCGCACGCAGTGCCCTGCGCTGGGGGTAACAGTGGGCTCCCAAAAGCAGCAAGAGCAGCTCCTGCGGGACCCACAATGCCAGCCTGCGCGCCAGCGGGAAGGGAGGGCTCGCTGGCGCTGCTGCCCCCGGCAGCAGGGCAGGGACGCTGACCCGGCACAGAGCGCAGCACAGCAGGGAGCAGTGTCCCTTGGCTGTCCCCTGCTCCCAGGGTTCGCCGAGGGTCACGGCACACAAAGCCTTGCGCTGGGAGTGAACGCTGGGCTGCAGCTTGCGCTGAACCTGCGGAGCATCGCACCGGCCCCCGCATCATCCTGGAGCGCAGGTGCCACAAAAGCTGCTCTTGTCTCCTTCAGCACGGCTCTAGCGCACACCTGTAGCTCATCCGGCCTCGTACCTGCAGCTCCCACAGGGCAGAGCTGTAAAAAAAGGCACATTGAGGTCCAGCTTTCCCTTTCCGTGTTCCCCCTCCTCCCACTCTTTCTCAAAGGAAGATAACCGAGTTCTGCAGCTTGGGTGGAAAAAGAAAACAAAGCATTCTCTGCCTGGACCCTAAAGGCCCTACACTTTAAGATCCACCTGAAAGGGCTTTTAATACAGTTTTGCAGCAAGACTCTTTAAACCTCAACTGCTAAATTTCTGAAATCCTATTCATTTATATTATCCCAGCTTGACTGCCTGCCTGTGGTGTTTGTAACAGTTAGTTTAATCTAAGCAGATTTAGCATTAACAACTAGATCTTGCTAATGCATATTGCAATTACGTATCATACTGGGAATTCCGGTCCCCCAAGCAAAAGCATTGCTTCCTCCCAGTAGTGTAAGCAACTAATATTAATCCAGATGTTTCAGACACTGCTTGCTTCCATTCACAAGTAACCTCTTCTACTGCATTCAAGAAGGCAAAGTCTAAGCACCACGTTTTGTTCCATTTTTAATGATATGTGGATTTAATTCAGGATCCCCAGTAACACTCGTCCTGAACTTTCACATTTGTCCTCCATCTACCCTTTCCACAGTGAATGTTCTTCACTGGAAACAGCTGCTTCCCCTTTGCTCTTTATGAAGTGTATGAGATAAAAAAAATGTCTAAAGGGGATTTTTGTCTTACTCAGAACAAAAGTACTTTTCTGCCTGTCATAATCTAAAGGAAGTGAGTCTCAGAGAAGAATTACGCAGTAACAAGCTCCAAAGGCTGGAGAAGTAAACTGGAGGATTGAAGACTGTCTTTTATTTTTCACCTCTTTCATGTGATGCATCATGGTTGGGTACTTACTGATGATTGATGGGAGAGCCAACAACAATTTCAATCTCTGCTAAGCCCTACTGTTCCACCAGTACAGTAAATCTGGCATTCAGGATCCCTGTACAATACCCAAAACAGCACCACATACAAAGCACTGATATACACATACTAGCTCAAATTTTTTCAAAACCATTAGCAAGTCATCTTTGTGCTGGTCAGCTTTTTGCCAAATCTGTGTTTCTCAGCACGGATGAAACCAACTCTGCACTAATGGCCAATTCAACAAAAATACCATTCTTAGCCCACACTTGGTCCACAGCAAAAGGCAAGAGGAAACATTAATGCAGGAGCTCAGGTCTAATATTAATGATTGTGTAACTTGAAGAGTAAGGTCTAGATTAATTCCACAGAATTTTGAGTACTTCAGTAAAACATCTAAAGTCAGCAGCCATATTACTCCAGACTTCCTCTACAATCAAAGGAAAGCTATACCTACCTCCAGAACATTATTTGGCTTTACTGATTTTCCACCTGAATGTGCCTGCCTCTCCCTCCTGACTATTAGATGAAGCCTCAGGCAATGAGCCAGTGGTACCGTCAAGCAGGTGAAGTCTGGACCTGAGCATGAGATAACATAGCATCTCTCCTAACTTTCACAGGAATTTCAAAAATTGTGGGGAAAAAAATCACAGAAAGCTATATTTTGCATTAAAACCAGGTAAGTATAATTTGAAGTAGATACAAATAACATTCAGAAAATGAGAGGCAACAGTAGTTGAGAGGAGCTTGCTCTCTATATGCGTGACCCGTATCTAAGGGGAATGTTATTGTTGTTCTGCCACAGAGCAACGCAGCTGAATAAAACCTAGAAGCCCCTCAGCCTCCAAGGATTTTGGTCATTACAGTTCAATATAGGATTGATCCAAATATTAAGCCCACCCAAACTAACAGAAAAGAGTCTCTTTGACTGCAGCGCATGCTACATCTATGTTATGTTAATTACTGGTGTTAACTGCCACGTGCTAATCGCTGAGAAATGCCACCCAGACACAGTAAAACCACAGCAGCAAAACCACAGAAATAAATTGCGCTGGTTCGAGGGAGATGAAGCCTTTCAATACACCTCTAACCTAAAGCTGGCTCCCAGGACAGGAAAGACAGTTTTATTAGGCAGCAGCGATGCGGTGATCTGTGTGAAACAAGCTCCAGGTCCCAGCGATCATTCTCCCGATGCAAGTGTGCGCTGATGGGTAATGCAAAAGGCCAGTGGCCTGACGAATTCTGAGGACTGACCTCCCTGGTCCTCCTGGGAAGCAGAGTTTTATTAGCTAGAAAACAAGTTGCATTTGTGGATTTACTACCTGTGAAAGCACTTGTTCTGTGAAGAGTGAAAACTTCAATCTCAAATGCTGTAAACATCGTAAACACCAGAAACATTTTAAAATAAAGCCACAGCTGCTTTTATTATCATCACATTGGCACATGACATCCCTGAAGCGCTCAGCAAACACACGCTCACATGGAAATGCACTATTTTGTCCCAGGGGTAGTTAATGAAATTTTATAAGTAATGCTGCTGAAGTACCCAGCAATTATGCAAGTCATTTCTGCTCAGGGAAGACGCTGTAGGCTTCTCAATTTATCTCATTAATTTCCATCTTCCTCTATGTGAACTATCACTCAATATTCACCACCAAGCGATTTGTTTTCATACTGATATTAGAAAGGCAAAGCAAAACAAAGACCTTCATGGAGAAAAGTTTCTCCCTGCAGAAATGCATCAACAGGTAATAAACACATCCCAATATAGTCTGTACTTTAAAAGACAACCTTGTTGCAGCCTATGTTGCATTTATAGGGCTTTTTGAAGCTAGGTGTCATGAAACAATTTGCTATCTTTCAAAGAGAACACTTACCCAAGGGAATAGAGACGGCATTGCTTGCTTCTGATTCGATGAATGAGGCTAAACCTCTCATCAAGACAGATCGACCAGGGCTTTTTTGCGGTTTCAGAGTACCCTCTAAGGCTGTTCAGGCTCATGTGTTCACATGAAATCTGTTGAAATCAAAGGGTGTTTCATTTTAAGACATGACTGCTAGTTGTTGGTTGGGTTTTCTTAATTTGTCTTCTGGGGAAA